TAGCACTCTACCTAGCTGCTGCCCATGACCAATGGCAGAGCAGATGCTAATGGCAACCAAGCCATGCCAGTACCCAATAATCTAGTTCAGCTCTGGATATCCAGAGGTGTACAGCCTTGGACCAGCTGGACCCTGAGGGGAGGTGAGAGACTCTTCCTCCATCTTTCAAAACTATCCAAGGCCCACTGGAATAAGTGGCTGGAAAGGAGGAGGGCAAAACACAGGCACAGTTTCCTCAGTTCTCGTTGTGTCACTATGTATGGGACTCACCAGCCTCACCCTTACGAGGGGGACAGAAGAAGCCAGTCCTCTCTGGGTCAAACTAGCCACATAAGAGGAAGGCAAGAATGCCTCCAGAATGACAGGCAGTCACTTGAGAGCAAGTTAAGAGGCCGAAAGCAGTGTGTGCAACAAGGTGTGAAAGCAGTTGGCCCAGGTACAGCCCACAAGGGGGTATGCCCTCTGAACAGAATTTAAAATAAAACTGACTCATCTGTTTTTTATTATCCCCAGGCAATGGCAATGCTACATATTTGAGATAAAATGCTCTTCCTGGCAGGGGCTGACAGGCTTGGGGTGCACCAGCCTGGAGTCGGTCTCTGGGCTTCTATGTAGGACATGAACCTTACACAGAACTCAACCCTCAAAAACTTTAGTTTCAGGGCTGGGGATTCAGCTCAGTGGTAGAGTGCTTGCCTAGTAGGCCCTGGGTTTGAGCTCAGCCCCAGAAAACAAAACAAAACCAAAAAACCTTTGGTTACAGACATGGTTTCTCCCCACCTCACCCCAAGTCTCACTAAACCCTAGTGTAAAACAGAATAGTAGGTACAGTGTGTGGGTTAAGAGCTCACTTTGTGCTCAAACCCTCAGCTCCCTACTTAACAGCTCAGTGAAAGTTACTTAATCTCTCTTGCCTCAGTTTCCTCATTTATGAAAGCAGTAACATAAGTACTGTTGTGAGGGTTAAAGGGGTTGAAATCGTAAAGTGCTTAGTACAATGCCTAAAACACTATTATTAGCACAGCCTCTTCATTAAGTCATTTGATCAGAGGGAACTCATCCTCAGCAACCTCCAGAGAGGAAAGGAACCTGACCTTCTACCAGAATCCTATGGGATCCACCTGCCTGGGCCAGGCTGCTAGAAATCTCCCCTTCCTCATACTCAAAAAAGCACCAAGATGTCCCAGAATCTTTCAAATGCTTTTGATGTCAGAAAAAGGGGAGGTGCCCAAGTCACACACTGGACCCTGGAATTCTTTTCATCTAGACTACCTCTGACCTTTTCTACCTGCACAAATCTAATGATCTCCAGGTCACCCATACCTCAGGAAGTGCTAACCTCTACTCCTCAGTGGTACCAGGGCCTGGCTGTTTCCTGACATCCTCTCAAGACACATCCCCCTGACCCAGGGAAAAAGAGCAGCAACCTTGGTCAAACTATAGCCCCTTAGTTGCCGTAACTCCAGTCTTTCTACAGCTTACCATTAGGTTGCCATAAAACTTCTTAACCTTTTATATTCCTCACTCCCAAATCCAAATACCACACCCAGGGATGCCCCAATTAAAGATTACTGTAGGACAGAGAATAGTGGTACATTCTTGTAATCCTAGCACTCAGGAGGCTGAGGCAGGAGGATCTTGAGTTTGATGGCTGCCTGCATTACATAGGGAGACCATCTCAAGAAAACAAACCAAGAAGGGCTGGGAGTAAGGCTAAGTGATAGAGCACCTGCCTAGCAAGCTTGAGGCCCTGAGTTCAAACTCCAGTACTGGGGGAAAAGTACTGTAGAGGCTGGAGATGAAGCTCAGTAGTAGAACACTTACCTAGCATGAGCTCAATCTCCAGCACTTAAAAAAATTCACTGTAACCAAATCTCCAAACTCATCAAGATTTATACATATACATACACACATATATCTATACACACACACAAAATAGTACAGCTGTATGCTCATCATATCTCAAAAGTTTTAAAAAGTACTATAATTTAGTATTGTTTTCTATTATGAAAGGTCTCCTTTTTTGGGGGGAGGGGAATTGGTGGAACTTTGTGCTTGCCAAGTAGGCACTCAACCTCTTGAGCTACACTTCCAGTCCATTCTGCTCTGGTTATTTTGGAGATGGGGCCTCTTGAACTATTTGTACAGGCTGGCCTCAAAACATGATCCTGATCTCAGTTTCCCAAGTAGCTAGGATTATAGGCATGAGCCACTGGCACCCAGCAAGGTCTCAATTTTTTAGAATAAAAACTACCAGCCCCACATGGTGGGGCAGAACTATAATCCTAGCATTTGGGAGGCTGAGGCAGAAGTATCACAAGTTTGAGTTTAGCCTGTGCTACACAGTGAGACCTAGCTAAAAAAAAAAAAAAAAAAAAAGGGGAGAGAATGGATTATGGAACCACATGACCACATGGCTTGTTTGGGATAACTACCAGGAGTTTCCTATGTTACAGCAATACAGGGTGCATTATAAAGAATGTGAGCTCACGTAGGATGAAGAGGAATTGGCATTTTCCTGCCACTTGGGAAGGAGCTGTGTTAAAAACTGATACCCACTGAAAGCTAAGAGAGCAGCTGGGAATGCCCTTTCCACTCCCACATGTCTAACAACCTATCTACCCACATCTCCTTGCTCAGGGAGGACTAACCTTTAGCCTCTTGGTGGCACCATGTGCTAACTTTCTTTTATCTACCCTTGCATTCAACACACTACTTCCTGTGGGTCCTCCTCACCTCCTAGCCTTTTCACTTGTGTTCCTAACCCCTGGTCCAGAAAGGGAATCTCATGGTTATGTATGGATGAAGCTCCATGGCAGTGTGGGCAAGCAGGGAGTGCTGAGGCTAATACAAAGTAGCTGAAGATAAGCAGCTCACTGACATTTGGCCTGAACACAGCTCTTCTCCAGCACCCTGGCTCCTTCAGAAACTGAGTTCTCATGGTAAGCACAGATTCCTTGGTTTTCTAGGCTTGCTCTAGCTACTCTAATAGTTGACTGGGAAGAGCCAGCCTGGGCCAGCCATGCCAGTATGCCACTACTACTAACAAGTATTCTTTTAGGATTGCAGAAGTGACTGCCTGGGGGACATCTACATTAATGGGAACATCAGCTCCAGTCCAAACCAGCCCCCCGCAACCCTCCCCAAAATAAAACCCAGACATGGCACCCCCAGCAGAGGTCTTAGCTCACAATTCAGAAAACTGATGAGGGGAGGGCTCTTGCTCTCAACAGACCATAGCAAACACTAAGCTCAAGGAGATCTCCAGGCCCTTCAGTTTTAGATGTCTGCACTACCAATGTTGCAGCCCATCTCAGCCCCCAAGGAAGAACAGCAGGGACTCTACTTTTTTCAGAATCCTGTCCTTTCTTCCAGAAAGGCAATTAGGAAAAAAGTGACCAAATACCCGTTAAGAATGAGAGTGGCCACATGGGTTACAGTTCCCATCCAGGGCAGTGGATCTGAGGGTCAGTGGGAATAGCCCAAACCCCAGCCTTTTGATCAGTGTGATGTTCTCGCTGAAGTCAACACTTTAGCAGTAGGGTTTAGGGCCCTTGCCCAGCTTCACAGGAGATACTGTTCTTCCCCCAATTTCAGCTGAGGGAATGGGAAGGCAAGCAGACTCCAAACACACCAGCAACCTTGTCACTCCCCCATTTCTCAGGGGAGATTCTGAACAAGCCAGGTAAGTCAGGATGGGGTGAAGGTCCGTCCACAAATCCAGAGAGAGGCATCAAGGTGCAAGGAGGACAAAGCCCAGTGGAACCAAAACAACTCCACTATACCAGACACTAATGGACAGATGTCAGGCCCTCCCTCTCCACCTTCTCCCTCCCAAAAGCAGGAATCAGACCTAGAATTCTCAAGACATCATGCATTGGTGGACTGGGGCTGGCAGCAGGCCTCCGAATTGCTAAGAGTGGGAGCTGGCAGAGCTGAGCCCAGCCCAGCAGTGGGTCCAGCGCCACCAACCCCCACTAGGGGCTCTGCGGTTTCCCCCCCAGCCCAAGGGGAAGGTCGCTCACAATGGATAACTGGCCCTTGGTTTCCTGGGCAAGAACGTGCCAGGGCGGGGCAGGAAGGGTCTCTTAGCCCAGGAATGACACAGCAGAGGCCAGAGGCACTTCCCTGAAGCTGATGAGCCTGTCTCCGTTCCACGCCAGTTTTCCCCGCCTGCCTAGCTCCCCATTCACTGATGGCGGTAAGGCTTTTTCATCTACCGCCCCACTCCACACACGTCCTCACCATCCCATTAACCACAAGGGTGCTGGTGGTTCCACGAAGCCGTCTTATACTCCCTTCTTTTTAGCACATGGCAAGTGGAACAAGACGATGTCCCCTCTCCTTGCAGAATCCCACCCAGGCCAGCTTTGGAATCTAGCTTGGCGACCAGGGTAAAACCAGAGATGGAAAACGTGTCTTTGGTCACCTTCTTCCCAACTCTAATGAGAATGTCCACTCACCACCTCGGCCAAGCACAAGTTCTGGGGCTGTGAAGAAAGCCCGCCCAGCCGCCCCGCATGACCCCGGCTCTAGCGAAACAAGGTGCAGGGCGGTCGGCTGCGACCTCCAAGGTCATGGGGAGGGGTCAGGGTAGAAAGGCAAGAGAGTGAGGATGCCGCCCGCCCGCTGTGCTAATCCCGCTCAGCTCCTTCCAGCCCGGGCCGGGGTCCGGGCCACCTGGGAGATGCCCTCCTAGGAGGGCAGCGAGCCGGGCCCTGGGTGGGAGCAAGGGACTCGCGAGCAGCAGGCGTGGGACGCACGGCCAGCGCGCAGCCCTCCCCGAGCCCTGGAGGGCGGGGAGACAATGCCTGCCCCGCGGGGCAGCCCAGGCCGCACACCCCCGCCCGCCGGACACACGCCGCTCCTCCCCGGGCGAAGGGCAGCGGCTGGAAGGCGCCAGGAGCGATGGCCGGACCGTCCCGGCGCGCCGCGGAGGGCCCCCGCAAGCCCTCCTCCGCGTGCGCCTCACCCGACCAGTCCCGGGGCCGCAGACCCACCTCTTCCTCCAGGGCGCCGCCGGAGCCCGTGCCCGTACCGGTGCCCGCGCTGGTGCAGAGCTCGCCGTCCGGCTTCAGGTTGCTCATGGTGAGGGGGAGGGGGTGGCGAGGGGAGCGGAGCGCGGAGGGCGAGCTCGGCGCCCGGCCCCGGCGGGGAGGTGGGAAGGGGCGCGGTGAGCGGCGTGTCCTGGGAGTGCGGGGCGGGGTGGCGGTGGGGGGGCCCCGCGGGGCCGTGAGAAGGGGCAGCCGCCGCGTCAGGCTGGGGTCACATTAAGTTTGGCGGGTGCAGGAGGTGGGGAGGGGTGAGGCAGGGGGGAGGCACGGGAAACCGGAGCGGAGCCCGAGTGGCCGCCGCCTCCGCCTTTTCACTGCGACCGGCGAGTGCGCCGGCGGCCGCGGCGGCGGCGGCGGGGGGCGGGCGCCGGGGGAGGGGGCGGGCTCCCGGGGAGGGGGCGGGGGCCGGAACCGGCCTCAGCTGGGGCCCGGCCAGCCCCTCCCCTGCCCTCCCGCGGTCTCCGGGGGAACCTCGCGGCCAATCCTCGCCGCCCACTGCGGGCTCGCCCTGCCCCGGGCGCGCCGTCCTCTGCTGGGGCCTTTCCTCTCTCCCCTTGCTCAGCCCGGACCCTCCGCGTTCTTCCCGCATTCCCTTCCCCAAGACAAGTTTTTAAACTTTGATGAAGTCGCCCGGCGAACTTTCTTAAAGGAGCCGCGCGCCGCGCTGTCCTGGCCCGCGCGGGAGGTGGAGCTGGGTGCCAGGCACGCGGCATCTCCACCCCGGGAGAGGCGCGCGCGGTGGGGCTTGCGGGTCGTCGGCTCCCTTTAGAGCTGGGGCCATGGGTGTTCGCACTCTCCCTTTAGATTACTCGCGGGGTCTCAGTGGCGCTCGCCCCCTGCGCAGAGCTGCGAGGAGCTGATTCTGGGACGGATGGCCCGGGAGGGGGAGGGGGAGGGTGACTGCTACCTGGGCTTTAACCCTGGCTGGGAATTGTTTGGCTGAGTGACCTTGAGGAAATCACGTCCCCTCTGACCTCAGACTCCCCAGCCCAGAGGGAGGGACTTAAGATGCGAATTCTTCCCGCTCTCAGCCGCTGCTCTGAAAAGCACTCGGCGAGGAGACAAGTCTAGGGACCTAAGGGTTATCAGCTCTTCCTAGAAGGTTGCGTTTACCAGCTCCCCCGGCCTAAGTGCCCCTCCCAAGCTTTTTCCCCTCCTACCCCATCCCTGGGTTGGGAAGGAGAGGGCACTCTGGCGGCTTGGGCGGGGTCGCCGGGGTGCGGTCGTGGAGTTCGTTTTCCTCTTGCATTTGAAAACCCGCACTGACCCGGGCTCTCTGCAGCGTGCTTGAAAAACCCGCGCCCACCTGGGTGGCTCTGGAAGCGCTGCAGCCTCTGCGGTCCGGTAGAGGAGCTGGAGGACTGGGCTCTTCCCCAGAGCCCCCGCCCCTGGATTCCTAATCCTGCTGCGACTTGAGGAATCCGGGCGGGAGGCGCCACTCGGCCTAGAGAAGCCATTGCCCAGAGGTGAGGGGGAGCCGGCCGGGGTCGGGGAGTCGTCGGGTGTGGTCTGCTGCCCGACGCCTAATTTCTGTCCTGCCCGCGCGTCCCCTGGGTTTGGGGCTGGAAGCGGCGCGCAGCGGCGGTGGGCTTGGAAAACCAATTAGGATTCCAGGCTTTGTTCATTGACTTTCGCCTGAAAGCTCAATAGGACCATCGCCACCATACTGGAAAGCCGTGGTGTGGCTTAGTTTCCCCAATAATTTATAATCTCCGTCCTAACCTGCCATCTCACAGACAAGTAAGTTCAGGCCTAAATATCGGTGATATCTGTCCCAGTGACAAGTTCATTCATTGCGTAGATAATTATTGAGCTGCCGTGGGCCAGGGAACCACTCTGTACTGATGGCAAGGCCAGGAGCACCCTCGTTCTCCTCGGCCCCATTACCAATACTTGGGTTACGCCCTGCCTCCTGTAAGAAGTAGGCACTGCTCATCCACTTTACCTTGAGTTTTCCGTGCAGCCTCCAGCACTTCCAGATGGTACCAATCTTGTGAGTGCTCAAGTACCCCCACCATCCTTCACCGCTCCGGTCAGGCTGGTTTTATCACCCCTTCCCTGGAACACATTACCCATCAGGCAGTCTCCACTTTTGGCTCAGGAATATTCTTCCTCCTCCTCTTCCTTACTTTGCTAAGTTGGTTTTAAGAGGAATTCCCCGTTCTCCCTCTCTTCCTCAAGATTCTGCTGGAGCCCGATTTTCCCAAAGGAGGAGCCCCGGTTAGCTCAGGATAGTTAAACTGAACTTTTCAAAGACAGAGGGTTGGCTGTGATGTGGCTTGGTGGTAAAGCACTTGCCTTAAGTGCAAGGCCCTTGGTTTGAGCCCCAGCACTGCCAAAAAGAAATCCAAAAAGACAAAGGAGTTCTCATTTTGGAGTTCTAATCTGTTTTACAGATGGAGAAGCTGAGGCCCAAAAAAGTGACAAATGACAGGGACAGTTATATGCCCTCATCACTGTATTTTCCATAACAGGAAGCTGGTGGGACTTTAAACAAAATTTACACTTTTCTAATAATACATGCTCATTGTTAAGTATTGGAAGCTATAAAATAGTTCAGACAACAATCCAGTCTAAAGAGCAAGACTGTTAATATTTCTAGCCTTTTTTTCTATGCATATGCTAAAAAACCAAGTTACAGCCTGCTGAACATATAGCCTAGGTACGCTCTTCTTACTATGAAAGTTTCTTTTTTAAGTTCTTCACTCAGTTTTTTTTTTTTTTTCTTTTGGTGGAACTGGAGTTTGAATTCAGGGCCTCATGCTTGCTAAGCAGGCACTCTAACACTTAAGCCATGTTCCTAGCCCAGTTCTTCACTCAGTTTTTAATAATTGGGTCTGGGAATGTACCACTAGCCTAGCATTCCTGAAGCCCTGGGTTCAGTCCCCAGCAGTGGGAACAAAAAGTTAATGACTGCTTAACCCCCATTATACTGGCTTTACTTTTTACATAATTTACTGCCTATCTAGACATTTGCGTATTTCCAGGTTTTTTCTCTTTTGTCTTCATAACCAGCTCTTCATTGGAGAATTCTTCTCCTCCTCTCCTTTTTATCCTCTTCCTCCTTCTCTTCCCTAACCTTCCTCCTTTACCTCTTCCTCCTCCTTTCTTCTGGCTTCTTCTGTCGTCTTCTTCTTTTTTGAGACAGGGCCTCACTGTGTAATACAGGCTAGCTGGACCAGAACTTGAGATTCTCTGCCTCAGCTTCCGAGTGCTGGGATTGCAGCAGTGCACCACCATTCCCTGCTATATGCCTCAGAAAGTTTCCTGTATGGGTGCCACCCCTAAGAACTTTGGAGGCATCAACTGAGTGATTCTTCTCTGTGTCCGCCATGACCCCTGCAAATGAGAATCTCCAACCCCAATGGGATCTGGAGGTCATGGAAACAGGAAGCCCCTACCCCACCCACTCCTTACCAGTGGTCAGGAGAGCTTTCAATGTTGACTGTAGGGCAGACACAAATCCAGCTGGAGAGAGGAGCTCGGTGGGTACAGCGTGGCAGCCTGCCATGGGAACTCTTCTCTCAGTGCCACCCATCTTTCCCACTACCAAGGCCCACATCATCTCTGAGTGTCTCGTGTTTCTGTTCCTTGTGCCTGGGATCGAATCTCCCGAACTCCAGCTTGCTGATCTTCCTCTGTACCCGCTGTCTATCCATGTGCACTCCCACATTCTCTGTGCCCTTTGAGCCTGGGAATACCTTGTCTTGGAGTGGTGGGTTTTTTTTGCTTGTTTGTTTGTTTGTTTGTTTTGAGTAGGGAAGTTTGTTTTTAAGTATACATTAATTGTACAAAGGGTGGCATTTCTATATGTGCATTTAATGTACTTTGAACAAATACCCCACTCTATTATTCTTTATTATCCCCCCTTCCCCATATTGAGCCTTACATGAAGTCCTTTAATCTGTGCAGCCCCCAAGCATGAAGAACTTGGTGAATGGTGGCCATTTCTACTAGAAGGTGTCCAATAAATCTTCATTAAAATAATAACTGGGTGCTCCTAAGGCTTTGGGGTTTTTAGGGGCCTGTGGCCCTTTCTCTAGATGTACATCATCCTTCGGTATTTCATTCTTAGGATAGGGAGGAGTCAGGTGCCCTCGTGCCTGAGAAATGCTACCCCAGGTATACTTGGGTACTCTTCACCCTAGCTCCCCCACCATCAGGAGAGCCTGGGCAATAATACAGGTACAAAGGGTAACCTTGAGACTTCAGGGATAGGTGTTTCTGAGTTGATTCTCTTTGATGCTTTTAAGGTTTAAACTCTACCCTTTTAGGTGCAAGAGGTCTCAGGAGGGGAAGGGGACAAGGTGATGCCCTGAGAAGTTAAAACCCACCTCACATTGTCCTCCTGTTGTCCCTGCAATCCCTAGTTATAGATTAGAAAAGTGAGTTTCAAAAGTAATTAGAACTCTCCTAGGCATCCTTTAACCTGGTGACATTGGATAGTGGGACTACTAGAAACAACTCTGTAATAGGGTTTTGATTGATACTAGTGCACTGTTGCAGGGTTGTGTTCAGTCAGATAAGAGCTCTTGGTAAACTCTGTGTGATTGTGGTTTTGGTCTTTGGACCTACTGCAAGTTTTCGGGTCAAGGTCAGAGACTGGGTCATTTTAGGGCAGGCCTGGTGGTACAACACCTGTAATCCCAGCACTTGGAAGCTTAAGGCAAGAAGATTGTGGGTTCAAAGCCAGCCTACATAGCAAGATCCTGTCTTAGAGAAAGAGAGACAGACAGACAGATAGACACTAGGTCATTTCAATTCCGCTCAAAGTCCCTGAAATCCCTTTTTCTTTTTGGTGGTACTGGGGTTTGAACTCAGGGTTTTGGGCTTACTAAGCAGGCAGTTTACCACTTGAGCTATGCCCCCAGTTCCTTTTTCCTTTTGAATCCTTTACTTTTATCCTTTAACCTAGATCCCAGGTTCAAATTTAAGACAAGCACTATTTCCAAAGTAGCTATGCCAAAAGATCTGGGTCTGCATCTAGATGACCATGGCAACCTGTGTGCCATAGGCAGGTGTTCATCTTTAAGGTCTAGTTTTCTTTTTCTTTTTTTCTTTTTTTTTTTTTTTTTGGTGGGGGGGTGGTACTGAAGTTTGAACTTGGTCTTATGCTTCCTAGGCAGGTGCTGTACCACTTGAGCTACTTTGCTGGCTCTTTTTTTTTTGTTGGGTATTTTCAAGATAGGGTCTCACAAACTATTTGCTGGGGCTGG